TTTTTTGGTCCCCCCCCCACCTCAAAAAAAAAGTTAAAAAATTTAAACTTTAAAAAATAGAATTTTTCACAATATTTTAAAAATTCTGTGAGTATTCGATAATTAGAAGACTTGATATGTAATGATGAAGGCTAATTTTTCTTACTATCTAATAAAGAATTGCCTCTTAAAATACCATAATATATCGGCATAAAAACAATCTATGCTGATATACTTCGTTAAATATTTAGTACTTCAAAATTGAAAAAATATATATATTCTGAAAATAAAAACTTAAACAGTTGCCTAACTTTTTATTTTTATAATATTTTTTAAAGAATTAATGTTAATAATTCAAATATGTGTATCAAAATTTTACCGTTTGTATATGCTATAAAGAATGTGTATGATTAATTTATAATTAGAATTTTCTGTCATGAGTTTTCCATTAGCTAACTAGATAAGTTCCTAACCTGAAGCATTATGTTCGTAATTTTAAGCTTATAGGTGATTGTTAGATTTTCATCATTAAATATTGACGTTGATAAAACCGATACTACCTAGCTCATTAAGAGATTTATATGATATTGAATTAGTAATAGTTAACAAAGCTGTTCTATAAACGCTACAATGACAATAATGTCGTTGACAATGTCAAAATTGAGTATATTAATATTGCACTAATCTCGAAAAAGCTTAATAAGATTGACAAACAATTGATATTGAATTAAATAAATCGATATAACTTTGTTCTTATTTATTTATAAAAAAACCTACATAATTAATTTGATCAGGTCACAGTTTCTATATGTTTTTAAAAACTTGGAAAATGAAATAAATTTTGTTCACAAGTAATGTTTTGTATTACATACTTCATAAAGTTCGAAAACAACCATCGTTTTGCGAGTTAATTCATGTTTAAGTAAGATCCCTGTACTAGATCATGAGATTTTTGTACTTTCCTTTTGATTTTTTAAAGTAAACAATATGGAGACACCAGTGACGCGTTAATAGTTAATTAATTTTAAATTTTAAACTGTTTACTCAGCTTTAATAACTATTTTAAAGATTGTTTGCGTTGTTATAATAAAAGTTACACTGGCATCACATACTAACTACTGAATACCTTCTATGAGCCAGACTCAGTTGACCTATGAATGAGTAGGGTTCAACCTACGAAACAGTGTCCAGACTAACATATTTTAATATTTTCTGAGTTCTACAAAAATACCGTTTGAGGTGTGGTTGCTCAGGGGATAGAGCATCCGTCTCCCAGTGAGATGCCCCAGGTTCGAATCCCAGCTGTTCCTAATTAATACGAATTCTATTCCCGGCTCGCACCGAACACGATGCTGACGTAAAATATCCTCAGTTGTTGAAGAATCATGGGTAAGAGTCACTTTGCGTCGAGCTAACCATGAAGGCTTTTTCTCTCCGTGCAATTAAAATGCCGGTTAGTTCCATTAAAAAGGCTAATTTCATGAAGGCTAATTTGTTCCAGTGTTTGAAAAAGAAGTACCTTTCTCTTCTGTGTTGGATTCAAAATTACAAAGCCATGGAGTTGAACACTGATAATCGTAATTACAGAATTGGGTCAGCTGTCCAACGTCAGTTATGAAATAAAATACTGTTTGTTACTAACTTATGCCTGTCCAACAGAGGGCACTGTAATCATCCATAATAATGATGAGCATTTAATCACTGGAGTGGCATACAACTTATTAGAAAGGAAGGAATATTGGGAAGCCTATCAAATATCACACCTTCTTATTAGTTTGTTTTATTGTTTATATTTGATTGTTATTAAACATATTCTGCAATTGCATCCTTCTACGTTGAACCATTCTGCAAAACCGTAGTATCTAATTAAGTAGAAGTTCTCAGAAGTAATTATATCAAAATTAGATAATGATCCAATTTGTTCCTTCTATATTTACTCGTGCTCCTTACACCAAAAGCCCTTGAGCATTAGAAATCGCTCTCGAAGGGAACGGTATTATTTTGTTCTTTCTTATTGATCACCTATACTCATAATATTTTTAAGAATTTAGTGACTTTCATTAAGTTGGTACTGTATTTAAATAGCTTTCACTTATTCGTGGAAATTCCTTGAAGCAATGTTGACCAAGTATTCTTCATTTATATTGTGCATGTCTATATATGCGCAGTGTCGTATTTAACAATCCCATTAACATTAGAAAGACTAAACATCGATGTATACCTAGAAAATCTGAACGGTCTCAGTCAGGCCCTTCCCAGGTTGCTTGTTTAGAGATAAAGTAGATTTTAAAATTTAATCACAATAAATTTAATACTAAATATAAAAGATTATGTCATCGAAATTCTGTAGTATTTTATTCGATTTGATTAACGAAACTATTTGATTAAATAGAACATTGACTTTTCAATTGTACTTATAAATTACTTACTTAGATTATTGAGCTTTCTTCTCAATGTAAATAGCAATTGAAGATATTTTTAAATACGCTCGTGTTTTTTTAAATGAAACTGGGGTACATTATATCAACTAATGGGGGCCTTATATCCAAACCAACCAGGGGTAAAGGAGTACCAACCAAAATACCTAAGGTGCCACTTTGGATCCTCCCGTCATTCTTGGTATAAAGTTCTATATATGCATTCTCAAAAGGCTAACACATGAATAATTAACAAGACACTTAAATTGCAGCAAATTATGAAAAATCGGAAATGCTCAATGTTTTCAGTCAGTTATTTTATGGGTAACTTAGCAGAAAAGGGGGCCTTAATTATTCAGACTTCTGCTCACCTTATGCCCTTCTGCTCGACGAAACAGCTTATTAACTGAACCTTTAGGACCTGTGCTCATGAAAAGCTTATCGACATTACTTCTACTAAGTCTTGGAGGACTGCCATCCTAAATTTGCGAAATGGCCCAAGACGAAGAGCGGTGGCTGAATTCCGCTTGGCCACCGGTCATGACTGTCTGCTGAAACATCTGTCTAGATTTGGTATCGTTCCTTCCCCGGTATGCACTCTTTGCAGTTCTGGTGAGGACATGGACACCACGCACCTTCTCCGCTGCTGTGCACTTTGCAAGAATTCTATCACTGAACGCTATTGGGAAGCTAGAGACATGCTGTGATTAATAGACTTTGTTACAGCATTTTTTATTTCTGTTCTTATTTTTATTCGATGTTTATGTATGCTGTTACTGTCTATAATCTGCCATTGGAAATAAAATTAAAAAAATTATGAGTAAAGAAAAACAAGAGGGAACGAAACAGCCCCAGCTGTCTCATAATGTGAACTAGTCTAAAATTACAAAACTGCCAATTGAAGGTTTTGAGTATTATTCATTCAGGAGGTTAATTGATGGCAGCCTTTTGCTTTATCTCTTTACGCCTTTTAATCTTTGGAACATATATTTAAATAAATAAAAATGTTTAGACATATTTTCGGCACGCATTTTAAACCATTTAATAAGTTTAAATAATTAGATTAAACATTACCGCATAAGTGCTCTCTCATTAGTTAATATAAGTAGGCGTAAGTTAATATAAGTAGCATAAGTTAATATAAGTAGCATAAGTTAATATAAGTAGGCTAGAGAGAAACAGATTTCATTTTACATGAATTGGCATCGCCTTTTTCTATGCACTTTGCTGAACAATTGTGTAGTACAGAAGAATCCGAATTATAAATTGTTGCATACATAATAAATCGAAAGAATCGACTTAATTCTCCATTCATTAACAAGAGTGTCTGTATGTCACGACTTAAACTTCCCTTCTTATGCTTTTGAATAAAATAAAAAAAAAACTAATATGAATCAGAAATGTGAATAGTTGCTGTTTTAGTTGACGAAAAGAATTAATGTAGCTAATTCTACAGCTTTTTACATAATTATCTGTATGTTATAATTTTTAATCCAGTTCTCTTTTCTCTTTGATGAAAAATGGAGTACTATTGATGGAGAGACATACTTAAATTTTCCTTTTGATGCCCTCCTTGAAGAAATGTGGAATACTATAGATGAATTGGAACTATGAACTACTGTTGTCATTTTTTCTAAAATGAAAATCTACGACATCTAGCAAGGATAGCGGTATGCTCATTCTAAAACTTGCTCTCAGAGCAAAACGCATTAAAATTACACCATTTTTCTAAATCCATTTAATGCTTTACTATAGTTTTTGGGGGAAATATTTTAACATCACATTGTAGGAAATTTAATGGGCCAAAACCATATTTAAATACCATGTTGAGATAATTTAATGGTTTATTTCATGGTTTCCTGCAAACAATGTTTTATGCGTTCTTGCAACATTGTTACAAACAAACAATGTAACAATGTTTATACGTTAAGATACCCGATATATCAGATTTCATTTTGAAACAATTTTACTTTAACTGATAAAGAATATGAGTTGGGGCCTTGTTTCAATGAATTTAAATTTTAAATGCAAAACTATGCATAAGGATCTTCAAAGATGGAATTTTTATTTGAAGACCTTGTGTAAAAAGTTGCTAAACCACATCGTATAAAAATTTTAAATTCCCTTCCACAAATAGTTACATAAAAAAGGGCTAATATTCAGCAATAATTTTACCAACTTGAAACAAGTAGTATTAAATTTATTTTACAAAATGTAAATCCATTTAACTCTTAACTTCAAAAAACTGGTAATCACTTTTTACTAATCTGATCTATATTGTTAACTACAATTTATTTTTATGTGATCTTGCAAGTGCGCATCCTTTCATATAAATCTTCACAAAATTCAAGTAACAAAATGTAACAGAACTACAAAGATGTGATTAAAACCCTTTTGGCAGGATAGAAATCGAAAAATTTGAAACTTTCTTAGTAATAAAATTCGAAATTAATCCATCTTTACTTTAACTATCGCTTTTCACCTGTTGAAAGAGCGCGCGCTCAAATGCCAAACCACAAATTCCTTACCCATCCACAAAAATCAATATTTTCTGCCCAGTCGCAGAAGAGAGCCATAAGATCTTTCTTAAACCTCACTCACAATGTCAGTACTCCTCCGAGCTACATGTGCTTCAAAAAGTTCTCTGTAGACAAACTCTTCCTCAGCGGCAAACTTTTTCCTCCTGTCTTCAAAAACTTCGCCAAATAAACAAAGGAAAAAATTCCCAAACTATGTTGAGTACCACTTCAGAATTGAAGTTTTTTCACTTCTTGGTGTTTCTGCTTGTACTTTTATTTGCCCGAGCGATGATGTCCCCGGAACTTTTTCTGTTGGGGGACAAGAATGATTCTTCGTTGGGGTTCCACCATTACCCGATAGGGCTGAGGGGTCTCAGAGCCGGACATCCGGCAGAGGGTTGCAAGTGCCATCGAGATCCCATCTTACCTGAAGAGATTGTTTGCGTCTGTAGAGGACCAAGGGTCAAGGATTTTAAAGCCAATCTGACCAGAGGGTTAACTCGGCTGTGAGTATTATCTTCCTTCCTTTCTTAACTTCGGCGTGAATAAGTTGTTGTAAAGTTTGTCTGAATAAAAAATGGAGTGTGTGAAAGGGAATTTAAAGCAGGCCATTTCGTCGCCAAGTATCTGTTTGTGCATGTTTTTGCTCTTTGGAGTGTTTGCGTACCTGACATGCTTCGGTTGAAGAGTCTACTCTCATCAGTTTGCGGCTGTGTTTAAAATTATTTTTACTGTTTCGTGCTTGAAAGCAAACAATTACATAAAAAATAAAGAATTTTAAAATAAAAAATATATATTCATAATTAAAATTGTTCTATTTCACTATTTGAGAGGGATGCATTTCGGATACTGTCTTTTTAAACTTGTCTTAATTAAATTTTGAGCTCTGTGTTTTCAGGGCCTTAAGCGCAAAAGTTTTAAAATCACTTTAGCATGTGAGACTACATATAAATGAATAATAACAAAATTTTTAAACTTTCATGTAATAAACTATAAAAAATATTAGTTGTCCTTCTAATTGCGTATTTTAAATTTCAATATAAAATCCCGATAAAAAAAATTCTTTTCAATATTGTCGCAAAGCACTTTTTTTACTATATCTTCTACTTATATAAATATTAAATAACATACTTATACTATTCTAAAACAAGATTTTCTTTAAGTTAAGGTGACAAATTTCACAAACGTGAAGTAAAACACAAAATTATTATAAAATTTCTGGCGCAAGCTTTTATCTAAAAATTTTTATTATTGCTTTCAGAAATATTAACCCTAATTTTCTAATATATTCACATCGAACCTTTGTATTTCACAGTAATGTACTAAAAACAAAACATGATATTGAGCGCGTATGATAATTAATATTGTTTCACCCGGTCTGACTTGAAACTTCTTCTGATAGATTTAATAATTTAATATTCTTTAATAGATTTAATTGTTTAATCTTCTTTTAATAGAGTTAATAGTTTAATTTCTTCCCCCAGGACTTGACATTCGTTCTTTTACCACTCATTTTTCCTTAAAAAATAGAAAACTATTAAAACACGAAAGGAGCAGAAAAATTAAACGTGCTATTTTCAGAATTCAGATTGCTTTCGCTGTTAATGTCTCATTAACTTTGGCTTTTTGCCAAATTAAACTGATGATGACGTCAATCTGGACTCATAAGTAGAAAATTTTTGAGAAGAAAAGAAGAAAAAAATGTGGGAAAGAAAGAGAGGGTTAAATTTTCAATGGGTTTCTATTTCTGAGCAAAGGTAAATATTATAACTAAGATGGCTGGGTAGTCTAAAAGAAAATCGTAAGTTATTCACGAAGATTCTTATTTTTACATCAGCTAAGTTATGATTTTGAATTTTGTGGAAATTTTCAGCAAAAAAGCGCTCTCTCGGTTTATACACGGATAGGCTTAGATTGGAAATATTCAGTAAATCATTAGTAAAACCTTATTTATTAAGGAGAATTTAGATCCTAGTTAATAAATTAAAAACACTAAAAAAACTCTTTATAAATCCAGTTCAGTCAAACTCTAAATTTTATTGAAAAAAAAATAGAAATTAGTAAAATTTAAGGATAGATTTATATCTTATTTTCAAAAAATTTGAATTTCCCATATTTGAAATGAATTAAAACTGTTCAACCAAATTTCAAACCTTGCTCAGATAGTTTTAATTTCCTAAACCAAAATTTAAATTTCATTCAAATTAATTGAAATGAACTAAATCTAAAATCTTATCCAACTGAATTAAGTTTTCTTAAACAATTTTAAGCCCAATTTAAATTAATTTCTTCTAAGTTTGATTCCTTCATTAAATAAATGCCATTTCCAATATTTTTTTAAATTTGTAATTTATCTACTTAAAGTTAATGAAGTAAAATTATTTTCTTAGAATCTAACTTATTGAAGTTGTAAGAAAAGTGGAACGTTTTACAATATAAAAAAGTAGAACATTTTACAGTACTTTTTATTTACCAGTAAAACGAATAAAAGAATTTCAAACAAAGTTCTCTTGTCTCATAAGTTTTACTTTTCTTTCTCAAATAAAAGAGTAATTGAGTTCGTAATTTTTCAACTAATGGAGTTCCACTTGAGTAATTTTTTAGATGGATATTTACTTAAGACATCGGTTTTTTCTTTCTACTATATTCGCTGAAAACATTTTAGATTTTCATTACAAAATTAAGTTAATAAAAGAAAAGAACTTAACTAAACAATTATATCTTTAAAAGACAAAAATTAAAGAGAACTTTTGCAGTTAATAATACAAAAACGTATTTCTTATTTCTGAATAATGAGATAAATAAATAAATGTTTCATTTTTGTTCCAATTATTTAAAATAAGAATTTTTTAATAAAAGCTTGAAAGTTATTGTTTTATATATATACTTCATTATTGTTTAAATAAAATGATTTAGAATAATATGGAATAAAAGTTGAAAAGTGGTATTAAATTACTAAGTTTAATTTATAAATAATAAGGTTTCAATACATTTTTTTCACTAATTGAATTATGATAATTTTTATACTAATATAAAAAAAAAGTTTAACTGCTTGTTTAATTAAAATAAATAGCATAACGTGAAGAAAAAAAATTAATTAAGCATGAATAAACTTTCATCTTATAGAATGAAGTTAGAGTTTAATTAATTTTATAAGTAATGTTTTTTTAAGTACAGGTTAACATTTAAAGATTAAGTACTGATTAGGTACAGCCAAACAAGGTAAATACTTTTCTAAGTTTTGAAATAGTGTACAAAGCATAAATTGATGCTAGATAAATAAAATTTTGCGTCGCGTAGAGCAAAATCAATTTTTTTATATGAGTATATACAGTACACAAAGAAAAAAGGGACCAACCTGAATAGCTTTTAAACTAATGATCGGATTTTCACGTTCTTGGATTTAGTCTTAATAACTAGAGGGGGTGACCTTAAAAATGCAAGTTTATTAGTGCAAACGATATTTTAAGTTACAAAATCATAAACAAAAACGTACTTTGAATAAGAATACCTTTCTTCCTTCGGATTCAGATTTCTAATCCTCAAAATATAAGAGTTAACCACAATTTGCTTAAGAACGCGTTTGGTTGGATCATATAATATTAATTTTACTTCTTACATATTTCTGCAAAACATTTTTGACGGCAAATATAAAGTTCTTTTATACATAGATAATTCCACGCAAAACAGAACTATTAGTAAATATTTGCTATTTCTTAATAATTTATTCAATATTAAAGAAAATAATAAATTTTAACTGTTGGGTTTTGGACCATTTTTTTCAAATGAGTCGAAAAGTATTTGAATCATTTTAAAGAATAAAAATTTTGATTGGACAAAATACAAAATTTGACCGAAATCGTTTGAATAGTTCATGAGAAATTGAATTTGAAGTATTTGATTTTTATTTATTTTTTTTGAATTTGGGACATTTATAGTATATAAATTTAAGAAAAATGAGATTAAATATACATATATTTGAGACTTATATACCAATATACAATATGTTTGATAATAATATTAAAACTTAAAACGTTTATCTTCGTATAATTTCATTGTAAGAAAAGAGGGTCAATATATTCCGTAACACATTTTCCACCATTAATTCATTGCTACTAGCATTCCAATATTTAGGACAAGTTTGGCCTATACATTTAGAGTAAATAATTAGTCAAATAGTTGCTGAGAAATAAAATGTTGAAAAAGTCGCATATTTAAAATTCCGAATCTGCCGAAAACTAAGGTGGATTTATTCAAGGAAAGTGCGTTTTTGTGTTTCATTTGATAATTTGAAATGTCGTCCGAATGAATAAATAAGCAAATTTGAGGTCCCCCCCCCCTCGAACCACTAAGATTTAGTTCTAGAACTTGAAGATCCGTTCGTTAGATTGCAAATTATTTAGGATGGTCCGTTAATTTTTTTGTGCACTTTACATTTTTTTTGTAATTGCTTGTATGTATTTTAAAAAAAAGCTATACGTTCATACTTTCATTTCGCAAGAGGTATTCGAAAATTTTGTTTAATTTTTTTTTGTCGTTTATAATTATAAATTTGAAATAATGCAATTTCTTACGTACCTTAAAATGAATAATATTCTTCGGCCTTTGTTTATTAAAATAATAACAAATGACAAATGAAAATTATTTATTTATTTATTTATTTCAAATGGCAGAGGTGATTGACATGAAAAAGCAAAAACATAGGAACAAAACAAGAAAGTAAAAAGTCATTTCCTTAGGAGCGCTCTTGCTTCCCAATATCGCTCGGTAGACGACGACCCGCGGAGGGCCCTGCAGCACAGGATGTGGCTGCCATACAAAACAGCTTGGCTTATGCATAGAGAACAATAGGGATCAGGTGCCAGCCCTAAACGAAACAGGTGCGCGGCAAGGCAGTCATGTCCGGTATGTAGTCGAAACTGAGCCACCGCTTCGCGGCGCGGCCAGTCTGGAATGGTGTTCTGTCGAAGATCTCTCCACACTTTGGTTTTTACCCTTTCTGACAATTGATGGTGGAAATCCCCATTGATTTTTGATCTAATAATCCTTTTTAAAGTTGAAAAGGGGACTGGGCTACTAAGAGCCTGGAGAATTCTTGTGCCTCTCTTTGCCAAAACATCAGCCCTCTCATTTCCTGCAATATCACAATGCCCGGGAATCCATTGTAGGGCTACAGTTTTGCCAAAATGGTGGAGTTTGCGTATCGCATCCTGACATTTTAGAACGTCGCAATTGGAAGGGCAATGCATAGATTCAATCGAGCAAAGCGCCGCCTTCGAGTCTGAAAGGATAACCACATTTGAAAAAGACTCAATAAAACAAAAAAGCTGTTCAAGAGCAATACGGATTGCAACAACTTCCCCGTCAAAAGCAGATCTATTGGCACCCACTGGAGCACCAAAGGAGAAGAGATTACAAGAGATACCAGCTCCAGCATTTGGTTGATCCGGATGGAAAGAGCCATCTGTAAAAACTCTCAGCCAGAGCGGTTCCGGGTAACGGATTC